AGCACATGGAACTGCTTTATTGCTAAAGTGGTTGTGGTGGGACTGTTCTTGTGGGGGTTTCTCCATCTGTTATGCTGTAATGGGCCAAAATGCTGTATCTTGTGGTTTGCAGCATTGCATTCTGGACTGAAAAGGAATTTTGGAGCTGAAAGGCTGGAGTTGAGTGGGTCATGCTCTGCTGTAGGTTGCAAGTCCTGCCTTGATGCAGTTGGTATATTTGGTATCCATGTGCTTTAGGTGCAAGGGGAAAGTGCTGAGTTAATAAGGGTAAGAACTGAGGAAACAGAGATAGTTGAATGAGTGTTGTGGAAAGACTTGGATATGGATGATGCTCTTAAAACACTGCTTAGGGATAACATGTGTGGGGAGGTGAACAATGGTGGTGGTACCATGGAGCTTCTACAGAAGGATTCACTAAGGAGAGGCATGTACGTGTACAAATTTTTGTGCTAGAAGGTGGGCCAGTTCCCTTTACCTACGTGGGGTTGTGAGCAGCAGTAAATTCTAATCTGTTGTGGTGTTGCATTCATTGGACCTGCTCAGGGATCAGGCCTTAAGGAAATTGATACTCTTTTAGAAAACAAAGAGTTAGAGTGCTGGACTGAGTGCTGTGTGGCTGCTGATGCTGTTATCCATGGTGTTCCTTGGTCAAGAGAAGCTTCGTCAGCTGTTGAATTTAAGAAAAAAGTTTATTCTGTCTAACTTTTAAATACTCAATCTTTCTTCAGTCTCTTGGGAAGACTATAATTGATTTCTTATTTGATAGATCAGGCTAACAAAAAGCGATGGACAGCATCACAAATATATAAAATAAAAGCACAGGTATTGCTTGGCCAAAATTAACATTGGAATCACTGTTTTCTTTTTCAAGGAAATAGATTGAAAAAATGATTTTTTAAAATACAGTTACATTTTCTGGGTAGCATTGTTTTACCTTCTGACCTAGAAGTTTTGCAAAACATTAAAGAGTACTGTGAATTCTTCTACTAAAAAGGTGTCTTGGGTATCTTGTAACAAGATTCACGTTCTCAATACTTATCTACATCTTCTGCTTTCTTGATTTATTCTCTCTCTTTCTCTATGCTCAGAAAAGGTTTAGAGGATGGGTAGTTGGAGCTTCTTCATGCATTTGTAAAAATACGAGATATGTATCTTGCATTTGCTCTTTGGGGGCAGTTTGTATCCTGGGCTTTGGAATGAAGCCACTTCATTTTATTATTTTTAATCTCTCAGAAGGCTGGTTACAAGCTGCATGCTATGCGGTTTAGCTCAGCCTAGTAAGTGGCATGTCTGTTTTCTCATTTATTTATGCATTTTAGAAGTACAGGTGACAGGAACATGCACTGTTAGTGTTTGGTTACAAGTTACATGCTCACTTAATGATACAGGCTGCTGGTGTCCTAGCAGGGGAAGATGCAGCTATAAAATTCAGGCTCAGAAATTTCCACAATGAACACTTACCAGAAGCATAATGAATTAAAAACATCTGCTTGCTATGCAGAGCATTAAATTGTCTTCTGCTTTCCAGCACACTGGGCTGGTGGAAGCATTCTTCTCAAATACCACATAGGCTGAGATACATTTCCAACTAACAAAGTAATTTCTAAGATACTAAGTGAAAAGTGGTGTAAGACTTGCAGAACTTTGAACAGTATCAGGTGAAAAGCAAAAATAAGTGGAATAATGGACAGTGTTAAAAGGACAGTTGAGCCTCTTATTTCAGTGAGAGTCTAAAAAAGGCTGCGTGGAAAGGTCTTTTGAATTCCTTAACATCACCTGTCCAGAATCACTGCACGAGACTGAAGAAATCTTCCACAGCGAAGTATAAAAGCTTTTTGATAGGAGGGAGAGTGACCTTCAGACAGGGCAAGAGCTGTATGAAGTCATTCATCTGTCATACCAGCCGATCGTTTTTCCTTCCTGTTAGTGGCTTTGATTCACAGTGTTGATATCATAACACTTCTTGCATTGTTTCTACCTAGATTTGTTCCACACACACTATTGGAAACTCATCACTCCCTCAGGTTTGTCTCCTGCTGAGTGCTGTTCAACAAGCACAGGAATTCAAACTGGAAATAGCTGCACTCTAGTTGTAATGAAGGTATATTGGCCTGGATGGGTTTTGGATACGGCTCCTGTTTGGAACAACAATGTACTGTGATTGAATAGAGATGTTTGATTATGACCCCGCTGGTACACCGAAATAAGAACTTCAATAAGGCCTCTGTGCTGCAGGTGTAACATTATGCTTGTGTTGCAAATCCTGAATTGCAGAGAAACCATTGCTCCCACTATTTCATCTTTTCAGTTGAGGAAAAACAAGCAAGCAAACAAAAAGAGACAAAAAAACCAAGCAGACTTTTCCTCTGTCCTACACCAGATTCTGAGCTTAGTGCATATTGCTGGCAGGAGAAAAGACTAAGTCAGGCCCTTCCCCCCAAAAAAATCACAATTGGCTTTAAAGTAATTATTTTTAAGTAAATTCTCTTTTCTGTAATTATATTAATAAAATACAGAAGTGTTTTTTAATTTTTATTTCAATCATGGGAACAGATATTTTTAAATAATTTGGCTGGAATCTTGCACAGGTGCTTGACCCTGGGAGCAAACTGCTTAGAAATAAATGAAATCAAATGCTTTAATGCTAATAACAAAATTCTCTGGACGGGCAATTCATTGCATGCCTGCAGAAGTAGTCCTGAAGCAACTAATTTTGTTTGACTCTTCTGTTGATTTTAGGAGTATTCCAATGTGAAAAAAATTACTAGAAAACCTTAGCAGATTGCAGGTTCTAACATGTCTGTGAAGGGTAAACCCAAAGGGGATTGTTGTTTACAGTGTTATTAGTTGCCAAGTAAGCGTACTGTATCTCGATGTCTACTAAATATGCTAAAGCTAAATCTTGGTTAAATTCTTTCATGTTTATGTGCTGAAAATTAAGTTTCTCCTCACAAGAGGAGAGTGCTGGCTCTGTGCTATTGTCATCTCCCCAGCACACAGCGTCCTTCCTTCCTGATGGAGTGTTTGAAACACCATTACTCTCGCTGGTCAGAGGCAAGGCACTCAAACCAGGCCTTAACATTTAAGTAAAGACACCCAACACTTTTATTAAAAGAGGTTTAATCCAGCATGGTTTCTAAATATTAACCATGGACTAGTTTCCAGCTGTGACATGCAGTACAATTTTTAATTAAAAAAAAAAAGAGAAATACAAAACAATTGAATATAAAAATGAGCCCAGGTCCCCTGACGTCACAGTGTGTGCCAGTAAAATATGTCAACAGAAAAGAAAGAAACATGGAATTTCATATCAGAAAAGGTCCAAAGAGCTCTTTCTCATAAAAGCAAAGATTATTTGTCACATTTGGAAGCAACCATTTGTTTTGCTTTTGTTCAGTGGTCTGGAAACAGGAGATGTAAGAGCTGCCTGTAAGACAACTCTGAATCTGGCCAGCACCTTCCCAAGCACCTGCTCGCTGTTAGGTACCGCGTTCTGCCCGTCAGCAGCCAGCTGCTAGCAGGGAATTGGAACCCAAGCAGTAATTTCGTTCCAAGGGAAATCTGCTTTTATTGTTTTATCCCTGTTTTTACTTTACTCTGTTAGTACCATCTGCGCTCATTTTAATTCTTTTTGTTAAGGCCACCTGTTCTGCTACTAAATTATTTTTGAAAATGTATACAGGTTTCTTTGAAGTAGACCTAATCTATATAGCCATACTTTTTTCCCAAGCAGTATGCGTTTATAGGTGGACACAAATATTTCAAGGTAGGCTGTGTGACCCATGAAAACACCTTCTTGTAAATTCAGAAGGCTTTTACCCCAGAATAAAGACCATGAGATAAATTGTGTCCTTCCACGGGGGGAAAAAACCCAAACCAAACACATATGCCCTCCTCAAAAACGGGTCTGGGAAAATGAATTTCATTGCAGGCACTCTTTAGTTTGGAGGTTGGGTTTTTTTGCCTTTCACAGTGGGAAGGATGTATTGCCCTCCTGGGGCCCAGGTATCCTGAGTTTTACAGGAACAGTTGTCTGTTTTGCGAACCCAGCAGACTACATCCAGTGCTACCTCTCATGGGAGGGCCAGTACTTGCAAAACAGAGCATGAGACCAGGCAGTGACGTCTTGCACACAAATATTTGCAGGCTTCGATAGGCAGATAATGTTGGATGGCATTTGGCAAGCCCTTCCTTACCGGTATGTGCAAACACACACAAGGGCCTCCATGCAAATGGTAGGAAGGGGCCAGTAAGACAATGCCTCATCTGTTCTACCTCCTATCTGTGGTGAATCTGTAGAAAATGGGACATGACCCCATTCAAGCAGCTTAAAAAAGTGATATTGAATGTCTGATGAGCCAGCTTTTCTGCGGCACAATTATACTTTGAGGTTTGTTTTTGCTGCAGATTTCCAGTTGTCACTTTTTCTTGTCACAGACAGGCAGTAGATACAAATGTTTTGAAACCAACATGATAACTATAATCTATGCCTTCAGTGCTTGATAGTGGAATATTCAGACTTCAGATAAAGAAATACTGTTAGTTAATCAAGAAAACTACAAATAAAGTAGAGGCATTCTCAGCCTCTCTTCTTTGGCACAGCAAGAAGTATAAAAGCTGTAAATGTTAAAGGTTTGGAATTAAGAAAGCATATTAAAAGCTCCGCTTATATTTTTAAGATACTCTGTTTGTGTTTACTCAGTACGTTGTAGTGCTGAGTGAGGAAGGGCGGCGGAGAATTGAGATGTGTTGTTTGGATAGAGATGTCTGTGTCAGGTTGAACTACTGTAAAATCCGTAGTTCTGAAGGAGTGTCTAATGGCATTGGGAATAATCTGCTTTTCCACATCACTGCCCTGTCTGTGCTTTGGTGATTCCATAAACAGTGAGGTGGAAAGAGGATACGGAGGCTGAGATAAAGGAGTTATTTCAATTGGCAGTGCATTCAGCGAAGAGGAAAGCGCTTGATCTTCCCTTCACACTTGGTTGGTGTTTGGTTCTTTAGTCGGAGTCGGAATCTGAGTCCTCATCTGAAATTTAAAACAAGGAACAATAGTGAAAATGAAAACTGGAAATGTCTGTGTCAGCTTTAGCTCTTGCTAGATACACTGCTCTACGGCAGGTCTATTTCAAAGGACGTGGCATATTTAGGAAAAGGCTTATAAAATGACAGTTCTAACACGATGGACCTTTAAATGGTGTTTCAAAGGACTTGAGAAACGCTGCTAAGAGGCACTTAGACCACTCATACATGCATAACAGTTCAAATGAAAGAAGTTGCAGAGATACTATTAGTATGAGCACCAAAAGGAAGTCTGCTGAAAGCATGCTTCCTGCACTAGAGCACTGCTGTTTGCTGTGGGTCATGGTTACGCACTGCCAGTTAAACGTCTCTGAAAACCAGAAGCTTTAAGACATTAAGAAATCCTGATAGGCCTACAGAGGTACATCTTGCCCAGGGTTGAGACTCGGCTTGCACGGAAGCAAGGGATTTCTGGCCTCCGCTGTCGAGAGCCCCAGCGTGAACATGAGGTCGGTGCTGGAGGAGCAGTGCTGCAGGGCAGAGCCTTTCTTGGGTGGGCAAATCATCAACACAAAGCTGCGTGACTGCGTATTGGTAAGTTTATGCATTTCTCCATCTCCAGGGAAATGAGATCTAATCTTTAGCCTATTTTTGGACCCTTGTCACTTGATCTTCTTCTTGAGGTCAGTTCAGTTTGTGGGGTTAAACAGTTTTTAGTCAGTCTATTTCCTGTGATCTGTGCCTTTAATTCTTCTTTTCTTTGTCTCTGGCCTAAAGCTTGGAAAACAGTCTACTAAAATACCTAGAAAAGACTATTAGCATTACTATATATCTACAATTCTGTACATCTTGGGTATTTGTTTTTGAGGGTTTTTGTGGATTTTGATTTTGTGTGGGGTGTTTTTTGGGGTTTGGGGATTTGTTAAAGTGTGGAGTAATCTTTTTCATCTGTGTAGGTGCAATGAGTCGTGTCACAGGGGCATGATGCCTGATTTACACTCCTGGGTACTGCAAAATAGCTACCTGTGTCCTGATGTGACTTGAAATGGGTTTGAAATCCCAACAGCAGGTCCCTCTTTTTATGTTTGTCTAAGTGGATCTGTCTGATTTGAGGTAGACTATACCTCCTATATTAGAAAGAAATTTTATAACAATCTTGTTAATTTTATGCTGTGTGGATCTTGGATTTCAAGGCCATTTGCCCACAGAATGAGGTAATCATGATAGAGAGAAAAGTGCTATTGGACATAAAAGACTGTGGACTAATGGAATCAAAAAAAGGTAGATGTTTGTTTATTTTTAAAGTAAGACATCTTGATGGGAGGAAAAGTCTGCTGCACAATGATTTCTATAATTGGATTTGAGGCCTTTCAAAGTTAGATGGCCCCAAACTCTGAGAAACTTCACATTGCTGGCTTGCTGGTTATCTCTATAAACCACTGAAATTCCAGTTGTATTTTAAGACTCAGCAGCTTAATAATTCAGCATAGTTGTGGCTTACAAAACCAAGATAGCCAAGAATAGAAACTGTTATTACTAAGTGAGTGCTCTTGATCCCCTGGAAAAGGTGAAATGGAGAAGAAAATCTCACGTTACATGCTCGGATAACTAAACCAGGGAGTTTTACCTACCTTCTGACTTGCGCCTTTCAGGGGAATCAGAACTGCCTTGCTTGAGAAAAGTAACCAGGTCATTGAAGGTTATGTAGAAATCAGTGGCAAACACTATTGTGGCTATAAATCCAAACACCTAAAATGGCAAAATAATACTCTTTAACAACAGTTCACATCCATCAATGACAAAACAAAACAAGCCTAACTGACACAAGAAAAGTTCTTAAAGAAAACTTGGGCTTGGGCTAATGTGGGAGCCTGAGTAGGGATCCCTGCAGTTGCTCTGTCAGACGTGTCCTTAGCCCTTCCCCAGGCTACATCCCTCTCTGGCTCTGGGCAGTTCTGAGCATCAGTGTTAGGGCCCCTGTGCCAGGAGCTACAGGAGAATGTAACCTGCACCTCCACCATCCCAGGGCATCTCTTTGTCACCAAGAAATCACCTCAGTGTCTCTGGAAATATTTTTTACTGGTTTGCAAGGAGGCTTGTCTATTGCAGAGTGAACTAGATCGAGATAAAATGATTCTGGAGTTACCTAGGTAGTGTCAGAGCAGCAGCAGTGTGGCAAGAATGGGCTGGCTGTCAATCTGAGAAGCTAGGGTAAATGCTATCTTGCATTGCTCCACATCTAAACCAAGTAACAGAGATTAAAACAAGATCCTTGTTTTGAAATTGTGTGTGACTTGGGATGGTTTGGTAAGAGTTGCTGGCTAACACTACTGGGTATTGTTCTTCCCTATCTTTTAAAATTATTATGCAGATTTTATTTATGTTCCATACATTATTGATGCTTACAGTCAAGTTGCAGATGGAGAGACTGTATCGTATTTCTGAACACAAAATGCTGATGATGAAGGCTCTCTCCTGGGCAGTCCATATACTGGAGGGTAAAATTACACTGCTCTTGTTTCAAGTCATCCAAGTAAAATTAAACAGTAGAGGCAGGAGGTTGACATTACTTAATTTAGACTGTTCTTAGTAGTTACAGGTTTTATATTTTTTTTTAATTATTATTATTACTCCCTCAATTCAAGGATCTTGATGTTCTTTGCAAGAACAGAGAAATTTATCTTCACTGTACAGCTGATGAAACTAAAAAGAATAGGTGCCTTCCCTAAGTAGTGCAGTCAACACTGAGCACCACTGGTAGGATGAAAAAAACTATTCATTGATTCAAAACCTGTTTTTCTAAATAACCAACAATTTCTTCCTTGCATTAGGCAAACCAAATTATCAGTTAGTTAATTGAAGAAACTTCTACTACTTGTAATAGGGTCAAAATTGAATTGTTTCTAAAGTACATCCATATGCAGTTCCCCAAAATACTTAAGTGGAAAGCTCATGTCTACTTACTCCTGCTGCTTTAGATGCTCCGTCATTGTATTTTGAGACAGCAGCGATTGAAATGGCAAAGTAAATAATGGCAGCAGTGACACACCGCAAGAAATCCTGTAAAATAAGCAATGTTGCATTCCCAGACTAGTCAGATGAGATTCCAACATACAAACTCCTCTAAAAATTATTTCAGAAAAGACCATTAAAAAACTCTGTTGTTCTGTCAGTGGACTCGCCTGATGCTGGAGTGTGACTACAGCCTGGTATTTTGTAGCGGATGAATTATTCATCTGGGAAATATTTTTAAATGAGATGACCGGAGTTTTGGCATAAGCTTCTGCTCTTACAGATGTTGGTATAAATCCTATTTTTAACATGTCAGGCAGACCTTTCTTCAGGCTGAGAAGGGCTGTCTTTCTGTGATGTTTAACTGTGCGCAGCAAGAGGTCTAATGGAAGAATCATTTGAATTGCCTTCAAAAGTCTCATCTTCAAGCAGAACTCCTGTGGTACCAAAGGCTCTGGAGGAGCACAGCAGTTCCCATGGGGAACAGGCGTGTGCTTGTTTCTATATAAAAGTAGGCCTGTCTGTAGGAGCTCCTCATTTAGGAACTAAATACTTCTAGTGTTTGAACTATGATTTCTACTTAGTATGCACACCTGTAACTCCGACAGCTACCTTGAAGTGATTGCACCCGTTGCTGTCATCGACAGGGTGCTTCTGTGGCTGAGACTGTCGCTCCGCAGGGCAGGGGCTGCCCTGTCATACAGGCAGTGATGTGCTGGAGCAGCAGTGTCTCTGAACTGTGCGTTACATAAAGAGATGTGATTCCCAGGGCATGTGGAAATCATGGGAGCTGGAATAATGGTATCTTGACCTCTGTACACAAGTACGTCTTCTGCCTTTTTCAGAACAGATGGATCAATAAGATACTGTCTCAAAACACAAATCCTACAGAAAAATTTACCCTTCTGAAGTCAGGATGAGGTCAGTTATCTACATTCTGTGACTGGAGTGTATTATGGTAATGGAGATAATGGACATACAAGTGCTTTTTTTGTCTTAGTTCTGGAATCAGATGGATATAGAAAATGGGAAAATGATGGAATAGAAATGGGAAAACGATGGAACTGAGATGACCATCTGAAAACCATACATACTGTCATAGTCAGAGTCATTGCAATTGTTTTATCCACCAATAGCCTTGCTCATGTTATTTTTATACACTGAGAGCTCTAATTCAAATCTCACTTTGACGAATTACTGCTAGACTGTACCAGAAGAGAATCCAGATAGACTGGATTAACATTAAAAAAAAAAAAATAATTACTGCTCCCTTTCCAATGTATGTTTGAAGCAACAGAGACATCCAGTGGCCAGTGTGCACTCATCATGTGCAACTGGGAACATGAAAACTCCCCGATGAATAGCCAGTGGTTTCCTTTGTGTGAATGAGCATCTGCTGGCAAGCGTTGTAGGGCTTCCCCCCTTAATAAAAGCAGTTGTCAGTTTGTTTGCCTGTGAGTATGACTCTGCATCCCAACAGCACTTACCTGAGAATTTTAAAACACTTCAGTAAAATATATGCATTACTATATAGCATGCCTGAGTTTCCCCATTTGTAATATCAAGGAGACCCCAGCAGTGGTCAGACTTCGGCTGATGTTGCCTGCTTTTCAATGTCCAGCCCTAGGACATTTGCTTGGAATCAGGCATAAACTCTGTGCTTTAATAAAACCGTGCTTTGTGTCAGCACCAAGAAAGCTACAGCATGTAGAATAGCATCGTTTAAAGAATGCTCTGGGACCTTCTGAATGAGAGGCAATATGGACAGGTTTCTGTTAAGGAGGTGAAGTTGTTAACAGGCTAAACTCCCTTATAGTCCCTTTTACTCATGTTACACTGTACAATTAAATCTGTGTGTTTATATTGCACATGTCACTTACCGACAGAGGCCAGTAGAGTCCTTTGAACTTCTCATTAAGTTTGGAGGCATAGGCAAAAAAAAGGAACAGTGCCAGCATAAACTCTAGGAGCGGTGCCATCATGAAAGAGGCAGCTAGAGATGCAATATAGCAGATAAAGGTGATAAATGACAGCACCTAGAGTAAAGGGAAAACACCAGTTACACACATGGAACGGCAGAGCCTCAGGCAGCCCAGCAACTCTGAAGCGTGATTCTCCCTGCGTACTTCTGTCAGCGCTGCTGGTGATGGCATATCTTACTTCCTACTTGGTTTTTTCTTGAGCCAAATGCATTTTCTTGTTTAGCATGGAATAAATCTAAAATAATAGTGTTTATTTCAATGCGTGTGAAATCAACTTTCCAGACAGCTCCACGGATTTGCACCTCTCCCAGTCAGTAATTTGCTCTGGATTGTAAACAGTTCTGATGACATAATTCTGAAAATAGAGTGGGACATTGCCAAACAAATAGAGCTTTAAGCTTTCAACTGTGACAGTTCTTATTTGAAATCCAAATCACTGCTCAGATAGCCCAAAGTACCTCAGCATGTATAATCTTCTTAGAGTTGAAAGGAAAAAGTCTGCTGTTGATGGATAGAAAAGAGCTGAGAATTAATTATTCTGTGATTTCTGGAAGTCTCTGATTCTAATTTTACAGTGTAGGCAGCTGTTCTAGAGAGTAATAGGATAGATAACATCCATAGATGTTTCATCTCCATGATGTTTCCTAACTCTACAAAATAATAAAAATGGCATTTGTTTTCCCATTCAATTAAAATACCTTTAGAATATAGTTTATGGCTCAAAATAGAAAGTTTCACAATGGGAGAACAGCTAAAGAAAATGCATTTTCATCTAAACCAGACAGTGCCAAAGGGTGGTGCTGCGCTTCTGGACTTTCAGCTGCTGTATCTGTATGTGGAAGTGGGAGGTGAGGGAACTGTGGAGAAACGGTAAAATTTTCAAACGATGTACTGGGAGTTGGTCATCTCTAAGAAGAGGCTCCAGCCCTACTGCCCTACTACCTTGCATGGTAACTGCTTGCTGTTTTCATCAAATTAGCTTAAAATAAGAAAAGCAGCTAGCATACTGGATAAAACATTTTCTGCAAGTGTGAGTATTACTGAGCTAGTTCACACCTGAGCTGCTCTGTTCTTGGAGACAAATCTCTGCCTTAGCAATACTCAGAGATGCTTTTGGTCAACACAGCAGTAGGTGCTGTTTGAGCATTAGAATACAAGGAGTTTTTGAACTTATAAATTAGGACACTGACATTCTCACTCATATAATCCTGAAAATAGATGCACTATTTCGTGAGCATTAGAATACAAGGAGTTTTTGAACTTCTAAATTAGGACACTGACATTCTCATATAATCCTGAAAATAGGTGCACTATTTCAGCCCAGATGGCATGTCAGTAGGCACATGTGGCTTCCTAAATGTTTGGACTGTGATGATCAATGCATTTGCCTCATTAAATTTCAGATCTGTGGATTTCTTTGCTTGCCTGTCTGTTCCTGGGAACCACTTGTACTTCAAAAAAAATCATTATTACACTTGAAAGATAAGGCTCCTATAATTAATTATTAATTAATAACTGCTCCTACGAGACATCAGTCAACTCTCAAATACATTTCAAAAGAGCCCATTTAGGTTTAGGGGGCAACTAAGCAGTTCAATCCTACTGAAATAATTCCTTAATTTAATTCATTAACAAGCCTTTATAGTAAGCCAGTTTTTTGGGGGGAAAGCAGTCAGATCTTGACCAGGATGCTGATAACTGGAGTATATTGTTTTGATCCATTAGGACTGGGTGGTGAAGTTTGAGAGGATGTGACATTTTTAGTAAGATACTATATTTATCTTAAAATGCCTATGCATTGTTCTTGTTTCATTGAGTTGTTAGAAACTGATATGGTATAATATATAGAGTTTATTTCTGTATCAAGGCCTGTTACCCTATTTGTTGTTATTAATCCTATTATTATTTGCTTATTTCTTATATAGTCTCTTTGCTTTTTTAGAGTTTTCATGTAGAGGAGGGAACTCATTCAATGTATCTTATCCTTATTGTGGTATTTTATTTCTGTGAATGAAAAGTGATATATACTGTTTGAAGAGAAGTGGATAAAACAACTGCAAAACTGCTGAGAGGACTTCCTCCTTCCTATCACACCACCTATTCCCTTCCCACCTCCATGGGCTAAAACCAGAAAGGACTGGACTTTAACTTTGTGAATCTGCTTCACTCACATTTGTGGAACATAATTTAGACACCGTTTCATGTTTTCTTGGTTTAAAAAAAGATCATTGTGTAGCTAGGGCATTTTTCCTTACTTGTTCTTACTTAGCTCTTACTGGCTAAAGGAAAGTATGTGATAGCTGAGATGTAGAGACAGAGAAGTATGTGGGGACAAACAGCAGCAGGGAGGAGATGTGTCCAGGATTGGTCCCACCAACCAACCCCTTTTCAATAGCAGAACATTAGACCTGAACTAAACCTGGTAGATCTCTTATGAAGGAATTAAATGGGGTGTTAAATAATAGAACATACTACAGCAGTGAGGGGAGGTGGAGAGGGAAATTTCAGACGTGTAATTGATGATGCACAGTAGAAGTCACTTTGATCTCGATTCTGTTTGATGCAGTAACTCCTGTGCTCTGTCTGCCTTTATACAGAGAAAAAGTTTTTTTCAGGAGTGTTAACTGTTAGGTGAAATGAAGAGCCTTTGTGTTCTCTTAACATCAGCCTTATGATAATTTGTGTAACTTAAGGTTCCCGCTGTCTTCCCCTCACCCTGATGGCCCTGGGCAGGTCCATATGGTTTGAAACACAGTGCAGTGCCCAAGAGCCTGCTGTGGCATGGCTGTGGATGCAAACAAACTTGGTTTGTGGCAAGAGCACAGCAAGGGGCTCCTGCACCAGTGTGCTGGTGGGATTCCTGCTTGGGTACAAGGTAAGTTGCTGAAGAGACAAAAGGATCAGCCTGAGCATTCCAGCTTTCTAATTTGGTCTGATCCGGAGAAGCTGGCTTCTGGGGAAGTATTAATTGTCCACTTTAAAATCTAGTTAATAGGCCAGTTGCTCAAACACAAGCCTTGGTTATTGGTAGGATCACAGCAGTCTTCTGTCTGTTCCTCAGCTCTGATGAACAGTAGTTGCACTGTCACCATCACCACCAGCTTGAGTCCAGCCAGTCCCAGCTCTTCACTCCTGACTCTACTTGTCAGCATCCTGTTGCACAGGGAAAGGGCACATCAAGGCCACATTAGAAAAACCCCCCACCCTTGATTTGCAAGAAGTGCCTTGATTTCAATGGATTATTGGTGATAATGGTAAAAGGGAAAGAATCTGACATGAAGTGTGATGCCAGTTAAGCATCACTCCTCATTTTGGAGGCGTTCAGAGCCTGAAATGACCCAAGGACCATTTTATGTGAAATACACACCTAAAAATAGTGGGCTAGATTTTGAAAATGAAGGTTTGAAAGATGGTATTTTTAGACACTGTGGTCTTCATTGAGGCAGGCAGACATCAGAACGAACAAGAGAAACAAAAGGAAGGAGGTGCTGAAGGCTCTGTCAGGCAACAGCTACAGACAGTGCTGCAGCTTGTTCTTTGGTTTCCTTTTTTTTTTGTTTGTCTGCCTGGTGCCTACCTCACAGCCCTGACGTGGATTTTATTGCCAGATCTACTCAGTAACTTGGGGACAGCCCTGTCATACAGGAGCCCACAAAGCTACAGCTTTTGACAATGTTTCTTACTTCTTTTCATTTAGAGCTCATTTCCCGTTCTGACAGGTGGAGTGCATGGACTCCCTGAGCAAGATTATAAAAAATCCTGGCAAAAAAGAGGCCTGATTCTTCATTCAGCGCCTGCTTTGTGGGAATGGGAATGCACATAACAGAGAAAGAACTATTACATACTACTTTTTCTTTTTTAAAGAAACTTTAGTATTGTGTTTCAAAAAGTAGTTTTCTCCCATATAATTATTACTTAATATTGTATTGCTGGTCTTCTTAAACTGGCCAGGCATTATGAAGTTATACTTTATCATATAACCAGCTTGCAATTTAAAGTATAAAAAATAATGAGTTACAAGGGTTAGATAGCACTGTGCTCCTCAAAGGAAGGAGCACTGCGGAAGTGCTGAGGTCAGGGCAGAGCTGAAGGCGTTTGTCTCCTCTGTGCGAGGAGAACAGACCCAGTGCAGCCCCTTGGGGACGATGCGGATCTGGGAAGCAGCTGACATCACTGCATGCTACAACACATGCCCTGACGCCCTCCACTCACTGCTCTGTGCAGTCAAATGCCTGATGCTTGTTTCTCCTCTGCTGAAAAGAACAGCTGTGCTTAAACATTTTAAAAAGTGGCCAGTGGTGATCTCGTTTGGACACGAGTGCATTTTGTTGTACATTGGCAGAAAGAGAAAGTAGATCACTTAGTGGTTTCTGCTATTCAGTTACTTCTTCTCCGTTGTACTTGTCATGGAGGTGAAGTTCTTGGTTCCCCCAGAATGAGCTGCAAGGGCCACCTTCTGGCTACAGACCCAGAGAAAGGCACAGGGGTCTTCTTCAAAGGAGACTTTACACAGAGCAGCTGGAAGTTTCAGTTACGAAGGTCAGTTCAGAGAAGACAGACAGGAAAAGAGGAGAAAAACAGGCATAATGATTTCTACATCCTTTATGTCACCACAACAGTGACAAAACCTTATACAGGACAACCTTACACATTCATACTGTATTTTTATTAAAAAAATAGGTAGTGCCACTGTATACTGGACTCGGGGGACTAAGGAGATGCCAATTAGAGTAGTCACCAGGACAAACACAAAGGCTGGACTGAAACAGAGCAGCAGAGTGTAAATGTGCACCTTGTCTGGACAAGCTTTAGTGGCAGGTATGAGAGTGGCTGTTCAATGGTTCCAACACAGGGCAGTGGGGACTGCAAAATGCATCTCTTAAGGGGAGAAAAGAGCACGGATAAGATGCTGACCTTCAAGCTAGCAACTTGAGTATTTAGGAGAAATGAGTAGCTTAAGACAAGAGTGTAAAAATATATAGAAGAAATAACAGTATGGGGAAAAAACAGAAAGAAAACAAGAAAGAAAAAAAATAACCTGGCAGATAAAGAAT